TATTTTAATACTTGTTTCTATTCCTTTTTATTGATTGTCAATGTGCAATGTCTTGATAGATAATATTTCCGTCTATAGTTTCTTATCACTTTTTAGTGTAATTTAAGAGAAACGACAATCTATATTTAATACTCTCTCGGTCCCATTTATATTGTCCCGTTTTACCTTTTCGGGAAGTCCACTTAAATTGTCTCATACCATATTTGGCAAAGTTTGTGTGGCTCTAAATCATTCTTACTTTATTCTTACTTTATCAATTAATATCCACACAAACCCACTTTTCATAATAACCGTGCCACCCTCTTCTGTCCCAATATAAATGGGACGGAGGTAGCAAGAAACTGAAAACGGAAAACTAGTTGGTTGTGGGGGTGGAGCTCGTGGAGGCTAGGAATTATCCCCTATGATATCCCTTAATCAAAATCCCTGCTCAGGAACTTCCCTTTCTTCCTCTCTTATTAAAAGGGCTAATGTTGGATTTTCATGTTGGGTTAGTGTGTTTAAAGGTAGAAGTGTATTTTTTAAAGGGAGAATGGAAACTAATAATCCAACCTTTTAGCAGTCTTCTTACAATAGTCCCACCTTTCCGTTATTCAAGAATAATCCAGCTTTTGCACCCCATCTTCATTTGCTGGTCTCTGACCGGGTCATGACCTATTATTCCAAGTTATTTTCTTATCTTTGCAAAATATTATCTTGTGAAAGGTGAAATTTATGGTATAATGGTTTGCAAAGATAATAAAATAACTTGGAATAGCAGGTCATCAAGACCAGTGAATGAAGATGAGGTGCAAAGGTTGGATTATTCATGAATAACGAAAAGTGAGACTATTGTAAGAAGACCGTTGAAAGGTTGGATTATTAGTTTCCATTTTCCCTTTTTTAAAAGTTAAAAAGAAGACATTATTTTAAATGAAGATCAATTATTTGTTGCTCAGAGTGGTCATTCTTTGTTGGTTTAAAATCTCTTTGAGAGTTGTTCAATGGAAGCAACATTAAGATTGAAATCATCAGGAAGCCGAGTGTGAAGTGAGGTTATAATTTTATTGCTAATTTTCCCAATTTACCTTTGTTCTTGGATAACATCATCTACTTTGTATTGATTTAATAATTTTTCTTTAAATGGTGTGTTCTGTACCTCTGGCCATGGCTGTAAACTCTCCATGATTAATATGCTATTAGTTTTGAAGTTATATGTGAGTTGCATTACGTCACTCTTATGCCAATTTCACAAAAAAGGAGGTGGACGCTATTGTGGACCTATGGTGATATGTTCTTCCAAGACACACAAAGAATATCATAGAGTTAATCATAGCAGACTCGGAGTTGTGTTGTAAAAAAATTTGACTCTGCATAAATCAGTTCAACAAACTGTTAATTTCTTACTTAGTTGTCTTACTATTTCATTCTAGAAATAATTACATATTTATGACTAAAATGAAGACTATTTACAAAAATGTGATTAGTGACTAGAGTAGTAATGAAATCATAGTAACTTATGTTCAATTTTTAAACTTAAGTTAATATGACACTACATTGTAGTAATTGATAATCATATTTTTGTAAATAAGTTTTATTTTAGTAATATTTTTGTAAAAAGCCCTTCATTCTAAATAAAAATATTTTTATTATTTTCATGTTTTTAATATAGATAAAAAAATATGATTTTCTTATTACATAGGAAGTTCTGTCCGGCCGTCGCCATTTGGGACGGTTCCAGGTGGATTTTTTTGATGATTTTTTTGAGAATCTTCTTCATTAAGTCTAGTTTACCCATACCAAATTTCAGCTAAACATAAAACTGGGAAGGCAGTCAAATGATTATCTGAAATATAATGCGCTCTTTAACTGTGCAGTTATCTTCAAAAATTTATTTGATTGCCTTCCCGATTGAAATTTTAGCTGAAATTTGGTATGAGTAAACTAGACTTAATGAAGAAGATGCTCAAAAATGTTTATCAAAACATTCCACCGGGAACCTCCCCAAATAGCGACGGCCGGACAGAACCTCCGAAATAAGGGGTGATATGCATTTTTTTATTAGTTCGAGGGCTTATTTGCCCCCTTTCCCTTATGGTAATTAAGGGTAGATTAGAAAGAGAGTATACTTTACTCTCTTTTATCCATTTTTTTGAAGTTTTCAGTTCCAGTCTAATTCATATCCGAAATATTTAGTTCCGGATCGATTGTATTTTTTTCTTGGGAGGCTAGAAATCGGTGTATTGATACTTTAACTGGCTGAGCTGGTTTCTTAAACAAGTTATGATCCTTTGATAATCACTACATATTTCCTCTAATATTTTAGACTTATTTTGATATTTGATCCTTTGAAGTTGGTGTGGTTCCTACCATCCTAGGTCTCCTAAGCACCTATTAAATCTTGAACTGCTGTCTTTCCTTGGGGCGGGGCTGGAAACTGGTGTAATGACTCTTTAACTGGATGAGCTTTTTATCTTATACAAGAAGTTTTGATCCTTTGATATTCACTACATATTTCCTCTAATATTTTAGACTCATTATATTCGACCCTTTGAAGTTAAATTAGTGTGGTTGCTATCATCATAGGCCTCCCGAGTACCCCTTTTTTAATCAATGTTTAGGTGTCAACTTTTAGATTTTGTGATTTCAAATTAGAGGTCATCATTAATTAGCACATGTATTTTTTGGAGACATATTAGCATTATCATATACTTATAAAACTATTAAGTAATCTTTCACTTGCCTCATTAATTATATATCTTTATATATCAATAAGTACCAAGTATTTTTTTATACATACACATACTACTGATATTTTCTCACCTTTCTTTCCATCCACCAATATATTTTACTCTTACTTTCCTAGCTATAATATACATGACTAGCGGTTTAAAAAACAACTAAAAGAGGTAAGTAATTGATTGTGTCCAGTCTACAAGCTGTCTTTAACTCTTTAAATGAGATTAGGATATGTTATATACAGTAAACTGATTTGTCATAGCTCCAGTCCCGAGTCAACAGACTCAATATCTTGGGGGTAAAAGGAGAATATATACACAAAAAGATACTTACAGAAATTTGATCAACAAAGAAATGAATTGCCCCATGTATGTTTCCAACTGTGTCCAACTACCTATAGGTACTGTTATAAATCATGTATCCTACAAATTCTTTAGACACATTGTATCAACATCTTTTGCATTACTTGATTCTGTAGACTGGAAAAGACTAAGGTCATCTTTTCGCATAGCAAAATAGCAAAGAATTAATTCAAGGAAGTGTTGAAATGGTAGTTCAGAAAACCAAATCGTATTTGGGAAAATTAATCCTTAGATCACAAGCTTAGACTGCTTTGTGAAGCATGAATGAGAAGTAAGATATTGGAGAATGAGATTACACTAAATAGCTAAAAGGCAAATGTATGCAACAAGAATGTGCAGTCAGAATAGGATTATAGATTTTGTAGTCAAAAGTAATGAACACTACAATACTTGTAGGTTTTACACTAAAGTATTGGGTGGTAGAGCTGAATTTGAATACACAAAGGAGACCTGAGTTAACAAGGGTTAAGTCAGGCTGGTGAATGGAACTAAAGATGTAATGAGGTGCTAGATTGGGTTTTAGTTTTTGAATATCTTAGTTTTGAGTACTATTCATATTTGTGGGTTAAGACATGAATGTTGTTGTATATATTGTTGTAGACGATATAATTTTATCATTGAATGGTAAGTCACAATATCCAATATGCAACACAATTTAGGTAATATATTTTCTTGCGGTGAAAATTTTGGAACGATGTAAGTTTTGAAGATAAACATGGCTTTGATGATCATGTACTTAGTCAATTGTCATTATGAATGTAATATAAACTTTAGATAAAGAAAGATGTATTATTTATGTAAGCGAAGCATTTTACGTGCTACATTTAATTATTTTGTACTTTGTGACCTCCATTTTTGCTTCAATTTTTTATTGCAGGCTCTAAAACACAACATTCAGTGACCAAGGCCCAATTGTCGAATGTAGAAAACCATCTCACTTCCAGACTAAACAAACAAAAAACTATCCCGATTGTTGTATCATATGAGATCATTGCCCAAAAACATCTAAGTACTTAGTTCATTTATTTTGTAATAAAAACTTATGATGCCGTGGCTGAAGATATTGAAATAAACAACATATCAAAACATGTTGTATGCAGTATTGGGCATTTTAGTATTCACGCAACGCGCGTGTTAGAAACTAGTACATGTAATAGAGGATAATGTAGGACGCAGAAAAATTGGATTAGTTGAAGATGATGGTTGAGAGACATAAACGAATTTTGAGATTATTTAAAAATTAATTACATAACAATATTTAAAATGTAAGAACCATAGAAAAAAAATGATTATTAGAGATCATGAATGATGATGTTCTTAGTCCGTAGACCAAGTCCAAGAAAAACAGTGAAACAACTATCTACCCGTGAATTTAGAGTATGTTTGATAACCCAAATTTTATTTGAGTTGACAGATTCTGCTGAAATTTATGATGTACTGATTGAAGTGACTCAATCAGATAATTCATTAAAAAATTATATTTAACTTATATTTTATTAATAAAATAAAGCAAATATGATACAAAAATAGTTAAAATGATCTTCTCATTAATTTGAGCCAATTAAATAAAACATAACTTTAATTTTACTCATTTTATTTTAATTACGAGTATTATACTCCCTCCGTATTTTTTGTTTGCTACACTTTCCTTTTCGGGACGTGTTTAAAAGTTTGCTACACTTTCATTTTTGGTAAGTTTATCTTTTATAAAATACTCAATTACCCTTACTTTTTATACTTTTAATCTTCTTTTTCATACTTTTACACACTCTTTCCTACTTTTTCTACACTATTTGATTACACCTCCTCTTTTACTTCTTAAATAATGTTACAAGCCTAATGTAGTGAAGAAAAAAATTACGGAGGGAGTACAATACAATTAACTTAAAATAAAAGTTGGTCAAATTTAAAAAAAATTGATTGATGCCCATTGCCCAGCAGCCGAACGGGGTTACCAACGATAACGACGCATCCTGCATCCGCCCAATCGAAAGACGACTCCTCAGACGACAAACCCTTCGACCTTCGTCAATCTCCGCCGAGTCGCCGACCAGGCGACCACCGTCTGTCCGTCTGGGGCCGCAACGCAGCACTGCACGTCTGCACCACGACCAGGCTACCACTCTACTCAGACGTTATTTTTTGCTGAAGCCTGAAGCAGTGAGCCTGTGAAGCAGGTAAGTTTATCTTTTTTAAATGATATATTATTAATTTTCTCAATTTTTTTAAAGTACTATTTACTCCTTAATCTTTTTCGTTATTATGTGATATTGTGATTTGTGAATTGTGAATTTGTGACTGAGCTGCTGATTTTAATTATTTATTAGGGCCATTAGGGCTTAGACCTACTAATCTATGATGAAAAATAACAAAAAAGTTTGTTATTTTTTATTTCGTGTAATTAATTGATGAATTAATTACACTATTTATATTTGATAAATTCGTATTAGTATGTTACCGAGTATTAATTGTTAGGTTGTTATTTTAAAGTCCTTATTTCAAAATTAAATTAACTTTTAACTTAAATTTGTACACATGTACACATTATTTGTACTTTATTACTATTCTAATTGCCTTGGAAAGGAAGGCCTGATTTTTTTATTGCACAGGTCTCCATTTTTTCAGGACTGGACCTGGGTTAACGTAATCCCAAAGAAGAGTGCCAGAATGCAATTTTCCTGGGTTTCATAGCATATAGTTTGTGAGTGAAGTTGCTGTATTTTGGAAACCATTGGGATGGCCGATAAGAAAGCGCTGTTCCGGGCTAAATTGGCAAAGAGGAACGAGAAGCGTATTGAGAATCCTCTTGTGAGGTAATGAAACAATCCTTTTAAGCCACAAAATTATACGGGTAGAAAGAAAAAAGTGAACTTCTTGAACTCAGTGATTATTGATCAGTGTATAAAATAATGCATGTTGGTTTTAGATTATTAGGAATAATTCGTAGGCAGTGCTTGCGCGTTTGAAAAACAGACTTGATGATTGCAGAAGGGACCAGAGTTCCTAATTAATTTATTCAGGGAATTTACTTCTGCAATGCTTTTTCTGGAACATAAGTAGCTGCAAGCATCGTGTTTTGGAGAGAAGCTAAAACTGCTTATTGTTGCTATCACTTAAAAAGAAAAAAATAAGTTGACGGATCAGAACATGTAGAATTAGTCATACTAAAAGTGCTTCAAACTTTCATTATAGTATTGTTCCATTTAATATCCCCGTTAACTTGTGTAACCAACCTTGCTGCTTCTGACTGCAATACTAAGTTTTTATCTATTGTAACCAACCTTCTTCCTGAAATGAACAACATTCATATTTCTTAAATGTAGTACTCAATGTAGAGTTGTAGGTTAAAGGTTATGAGTTTCTTTCTAAATTTTAATCATACCCTCTTTTAAATACAGGTACAATGAGCATGATCAACCTGTCTGTAGAGTTTGTGACGTTCTTCTGAAATCTGAGACAGACTGGACTGTTCACCAAGCATCTCGTAAACATAATACGGTAGAGTTTTTCCTGTATTTATTTATATGAATTTCAATACGTTGATCTCTAACATTTGACATATCTATTTTTTTTGGTATTAAGATTACTATGCAAAACAACATACTACGTAATACTCTTGGCTTCTGCTTCAATGAATTCCATGTCAATGCAATCGATTATTTCTGAGCTTGACAGTCAATAAATGCAGTTGAGCACTTGAGCTTTTATAGTCTTTTGCGAAGTTTATAATTTTGGTGTTATTTTTTTTTGGGATTCAAGCAAAACTCTAAAAGGTGGGTGGTATTCAATTAAAACTTTTCATGAATCATTAGAACTCCATTAATATTCAAGATGTCATTGTCTTTTTAGACCATTCCAAATTGGGACTTTTGTAGAATATTATTACAATTTAACCTGCCATACATATTTCCCAATTCTGTAGAAGTACCAGGGTTGTATTTTTTTTGTTTTTCCAATAGAACAAATATAAAATGTGTAGTAAAGAAGTTGATTTTTGTGCTCTATGGAAACAACCCCTTTAAAAAGGTCTGCCAAAAAAGCATCACAAATGACGATATTTGTCTGATGTTTTCTTCTTCACATAAAGCCTCTTCACTTCCATCATTTCCAATGGAGCCAAAGATTCACTATTTTTTGGCTTGGGAATATGATGGAATAAAGAAAATTGGCTCTATAAACTTTCTACGCTTCTTTTTTTATGAATTAACAATCAGTCCGTGCAATTTTCGTCACGATTTTCATCATGGGTCATCTGGAAACAGTCTCTCTGTAGTCTGTACTTCAGTACAAGGGTAAGACTGCGTACATCGAACCCCCTTACCCCACCACTGGGGTAATGTTGTTGTATAAGGACTCTTCACTTCTTCAGTTGATGTTCCTATCTTCTTGAGCTTTAGTGCACACCTTTGTACTTTATGTCATATTAGTTTGGATCTTGATTTAACTTTCTTATGCATGTGTAGGCAATCAATAATCTCAAAGCCAAATCTACCACACTAAAGCGAACTAACAATGTGAATACTGAGCTTCCTAAAGACTCACATAGGGTTAAACCTGAGAATCATGACGAGTTTCTTAATAAAGGAGTTGAAGTTTCTACAGGGCTGTCCAAACCTCGACAGGCATCTTCCCTTCCTCCCAACTTTTTTGATAGCAAGGAAACAAAGAAACAAAAAAGTGGTAAGTTTTTATTGATAGAATCTGGATTCATGATGAAGCATTTTTTTCTACATTTGTTCTGGTAGTAAACAATTAGAGTGTATAAACCTATCTCTTCGCGTTGGTGTTTTTGAAAAATTAAACTACTTAACCTACTTTACAAGGTTCAAGACACCAGGTAAATGAGAAGTAGTTAGGTATGTGGCACGTTCTTTTTAGAAGTAAAAAAAGGCTTTGATACTTTTCATCCTGTTTGTCACATGCTTGATGCACCATTTGTTTTTTGGTGCATTTTATTGCATAGCTCATCCATTCAGTGACATTCTTTCAGCACACATAATGTTTGTGATACATTTTATTTCTTGATAGTCTTTTTACTTTAAAGCAAAGCCTATTAAATGAATAATTATCAAGTAAAACTATAAAAGCATTATTTCCTTGAAATGAAAAATTATCACTCCTTTTTCTTTCCTTCCAAAACCTCCCTCCCAAACTTACCCTAAGTTTATGGTGAATTGTATTCCTAAGCAGTAATTTCATTTACTGTAAGGCAAAGCCTTATTAGTTATTTGTTTAAATGGTTAATGGTTTAAGCATGAATCTTATTTTGTTGATGAATCAGATCATATTGAATCAAGAGGCCATGGCACACAAAATACTGAAGCCATTGCTCAAGCTAAAGAATCATTGCCACCTATTCCAAGGGGCAAGGTGGAAATAAACAATGTAAACATTGATGAAAAAAATTCTGAATCTGGGCTGTCCAAGGAACACATATCAAAGCAGACTCTTGGCTCTGAAACTAGGAAGGCCAAAGGACTTATACCTGAAGGATTTTATGATAATAAAGATGCTGATTTGCGTGCACGTGGTATTACACCAGTCAAACCTGATGTCAAGTAAGAGCGCTAGCTTGTTTTACCTTGTATTTTGATTGTTCTCTTGCCCTTATCAAGTGCTCACATTTTCACGTGGAAATCTTGGTTACTTATAATATGATGTATATAATGCCATATAATACCCATAAAGTGTGGAAATGCTCTTTGTTATCTCCTTTTTGGGGGTATCCTGGAGGATTTGTTGTAAAATGTAGTGAACTTAGAGGTGAAAGTGAAAGGTTTTGAACTTTGCTCCCCCCCTCCCAAAAAAAAAAAGAAAAAAAGAAAAAAAGAATCTTAGTGCTGTCATGCCTAGCATATCTGCAACTATAAAGATTTTTTCAATATCAGAGTCCTTAGGATCCCTCTATGCACACTTAAAATACTAGTCTCAGGTTGCAGAAACTATGATGTTGTCTGAAAGGTGAATTGTGGACAGGGATGAGTACAAGGAGTTTGAGAAGTTGATCCAGGAGGACTTACAGGAGGTTGACAAACGCTTAGAGGAAGAGGAGGTTGGTAACTTTGTAAACAATTTTATAAGTTGTATGATTTTTGTCATTTACCAGACATGATTTATTACCTTTTTCATTCATTTTGATGTTCTATCTTGTAGTATGATGCAGCTGATATGATAGAAGAGGAAGAGACTGTGGAACAAAGGTAAGCAGCATTCAATTGGGTGATAATTACTTAGCCTTTATTTTGTGCAAGCTTCTTCACTTTGTGTGGTATGTTATTTCTAACTTCAGGGCCTACAGAGAAAGGGTGGAGATGTTGAAGAAGAAAAAGATGGAACTTAAGGCTCGCAAGTCTACCATCCGTAGCAAAGCTACTCCTCCGATCACTAAGGAAGAGTCTAGTAGTGATGAAGAGTCTTTAAGTGATGATAGCAATGAAAACTTAACAGTTGATTGGAGAGCTAAACATCTGTGAAATCCATTTTTGTATACTTGGTAGTAATGGCACTTCCTCTTCACCATCCCTTCAGCTCTGTTCTTTCATAACAGGTCGCTTTTAATTTCAAAATGTGTTCTAATCCAACTTCATTAGTATTCTGGTTGCAGATTTTGGAGTTGACTGAACCGTTAATGAGGTAAAGTTCAACAGAAACAGAACCCTGGCAGATTTAATTGTTTTGTGACACCGTGACATCCATTGAGGGACAATACCGATCTACCAAACAGGCAAAGCGTCTGTTATGCAATCTGATCTGCTATTCTCTTTGTACTGTTTCCGACTTGGCAAAATATATTGTGCACCATCTTGTACAGCTGGATAAATTTCTTGTGTGGGTTAAATCACATGAAGTTATTTAATGATTTAAAACTTGGACTAATAAAATAGAACTCAAATGTACATGTACATTGTTGTGTACTTTGAGAACAGTCTATACACCAAAATCTTTGCGGCTGTAATCTTGTACTTTGCCTATCAATCTGGGATCCCATAAATGATGAGTTGTGTTCCATAAAGAGCCTCTTAAAAGTCATTCTTGGTTGGAAAGAGTTATGTGCACGAATACAAACACAGAGATACGACGATACTCGAAAACGGACATGTCAAAACACCACTCCATTAAAACATTGGATGCATGTGCACATTGATAGGGCGGAGTTAGGGCACTAGACCGGTACATAAAAAAAAATAGATATTTTTTAAATTTGGGGTGGGTCGGGGCCTAGGTTGGTCCCTCCCTAGCTATGCCCCTAAGCGGATATAATTGTGTCACTGGCTGAGCATAGGCGGTGGAGTCACTGTTGCCTAAGTAATTGTGTCGCCCGGCCGCCCGGGTAACTAGTGCACCAGAGATCACTATATATCATTGTGTTAGTGGGTGTAGCCATCAATGTAGGTGGGTAATGGTGGTCGTCGGTGGCGGTTCATCAAGGCGGTTGTTCACTGTGGATGTTCACTGTGGCATCAAAGTCATTGTTCTTGCGGTGTAATTGTCACTGTAGTGACAGTGTCCTTGTAGAGGCTGTGCCAGTGGGATACTGGGATGGGTCACTAGCAGTACGCTACTAGAGTTGTCAAGTATAGGCCATTAGATACGAGAGGGGGCTTCAATACTACACATGTTGACATTTCTATATTTAGGAAGTATTTAGTCATTTTTTGAAAATATAAAATAAGTCTCCTTTTGTCTATACCCCACTTATCAGTAAAAGTCATATCATGAGTCATGATCCGATTAATATTAATAATATAAATAGAAACTTATAGAATCAAGCGAATGCAATGAAATACACAGTTGTTATACTGTAATAGCAACCCAAGGTGAGCATTGTACTCCTACAGCTAAAACACACACGAACATAACACGTGTGGGGAATATTTTTTCAGCAGTAGAGTGATGTAATCCGCGTTTAAAGAAATGTAACTCACGTTGTTGAGAAATCTAATTGGAGGCAAGTCAAAATGTAAATTGTAAAATATGGAGTCTAAGAAATAAAACATTGTTTTAAATGTAAACAATGAAAAAAGAGTCTAATTAATATCAACGCTATAAAAAATGATTAAAAACGAATCATTTTTTTGTTTTAATGGCAGGAGTGTATTTTGTGACGTAACTTGTATTATGATAAATGTAAATCGTGTGGATGAAAAATGTAACTTACATGTATGAAAAATGTAACTTGTTGAGTCAAGTTTAAATGTAACTCGCGTATAACAAGTTGTAATTCGCGCATATGAAGATGTAAGTTGCGCATAAGAAGATTCAACTCACGCACATGGAGATATAAATCATGCATAAGAAGATGTAAATCGCGTGCACCAAGATGTAAATCACACATAAAAAGATGTAACTCGCGCACTTGAAGATGTAAACTACGTAAAAATTGACACGTGTATGGTGTATCAAGTGACCGGCTAACCGGAAACAAACCTGTTAAATTATAATTTTGAATATTTTGGTATAGTTCATAAGCTTAATTGAGTGTTTATTTAGTTCCGGGGCTTACTTGACTTTTTTGATATACTTCAGAGACGAATTTGACAATTTTCCCAAGAAGATGTAACAACATATATTATGAAATGTAAATTCGAGAATCGAAATAAATAAACTCAATATCTAAAAAAACCTCTAAACGTATATATAAGTGATAAAAATATATTATAGAAAAAAGTGCGTGAATATAAAAAATATATTACAAAAAGTGTATGAATAAAACAATATAATAGAAATAAAGAAAATAAAGAAGAATAAACCATATAATGATGACACTGGTAATTTGCGTTTTAATCCCTAGTTCAAAGTCCAAACTGGTCACCACGCCACGTCAGCAAAATTGTCAGTTTCAAGTCGCCGCACCTCTCCGAGAATCTCAACTCTTAATTGGCCGTCAACGGTCAAACCTCATGGCGCATCTTGCCCCTATTCACCCCTCAAATGGCTAAAACCCCGAGGGCATTTCTGTCAAATCAAGCCCAAAACCTCCAGTTAGGGCGCCAAATAGCAACCACCACCACTGAAATCTTCAGCTCGCGATAACGACCTCTGAAACTGAATCCATCTTCTCCATCTCTCTCTAGCATGTGAAGAAAAAGATTCGAAAAGCTGTAATAATCATGAAGTCCAAGAAAACGTCACCGCCGATTCTGGAAGCTCACAAGAAACCGAAGAAGGCGCCCAAGTTCTTCGGCCTCGCCACATTTGCGGACCCGGGTTGCCCCATTTCCCCCACCGGCCCGTTTTTCGAGAACGTCCGGTTCTTCCTCCAGCAATGCGCCGAGCTTGAGGACTATGAGGTTGAAGGAATGCCCGTCTGGGTCACCTTTCTGGTCCACGAAAGCAGAGGATTCGCAGCTCCTCTTTACACCATTGAGGAGGCTGTCCAGAGCTCGGCGGCGCACCAAGTCTGCAACCACTGCAGATATGCCGGTAAATCTAGATATACTTGGTTTTAACTTTAAATTTCTAGGGTTTCGCTGTTTTTGGTTCGTTGCGGTGAATGTAGGGTTAACGGAGATTTGGGAATTGATTTCAGGCTGGGGACACCATTTAGTCTCGAAGAGGAATTATCATTTTATAATTCCCGCTGATGACGACTGGAATCAGCCACTGACGGAAGGGTTCCTTGATCTGCAAACCCATCTTCTTCATGGGATGATTCACTGCAACGGGTTTGGTCACTTGCTCTGCATTAATGGAATTGAAGGCGGATCGAAATATATTTGTGGGAAAGATATAATGGACCTCTGGGATCGTATCTGTTCCAATCTCCAAGCTCGGTAAGCCAAAGCATCACACTTACTCTATGAGTTAAGATGATATTGAATTGTGAAATTGGTCTTTGCCTGATGAATTTATGGAATTATTTTTCATGATTAACAGAAGTATTTCAGTTGAGGATCTATCTAAGAAGCACTCAATGGATTTGAGATTACTCTATGGGGTAGCATACGGCCACTCATGGTTTGGGAGATGGGGTTACAGATATGGGCATGGATGCTTTGGAGTGATGGAACATGACTATGAAAGAGCTCTTCAAATCCTTAGCTCATTAGACCTCGATCAGGTCATTGACAATTTCAGTCAATCCACCTGTGCATTTGAGATCAGCCAAACAATCCTCTTTTACAGAAACCTAAGCAATGCTCATCATCTCCACACCCTCCGGGATCTATTCAGATTCATGATCTCTCTGAAGTTAAAGCTACCACTAGGAGCACCATTTCTTCGACCTTGTTCTTCGAAACGTTTGGTTAGGACTACCATTCAGTGTAAGCCTCAAGGAAAGAAGGACAGATCAGCAAGGTGCAGAAAGTTTGCCAGCCTTGCAGCCTGCATGGACAGCAGGTGGCCTGTTAGAAGGCTTGAATTCACTGCCAATGTGATCGTCGATGCCTTGAGGGAGAAGAAACAAGAATCCAAATCTGGGATGACTAGGCAAGAGGTAAGGGATGCTGCACGGGCCCACATTGGGGATACCGGGTTGATCGATCACGTCCTGAAGTCCATGAACAATGTGATTGTGGGCAGTTATGTGGTCCGCCGTGCAGTTAATAAAGCAACAAGGGTATTGGAGTACACAATTCAGGAGCTCAATGATGGAGTTAAAGCTTCAGAACATTCTTCCATTGCAGGAAGTGATGTTTTTGAAGATCTTTACTTTCTATACACTAATGTGCTATTGGGATACCACCAAGAATCTCAAACTGTGCTTGACACGAAGCATTTTGTGAAGGAGTGGCCATTCAGGGATGAGCTTGATGACTTGCTCAGGTTCATCTGTATGGTAATAATCCCAATCTCGACTGAAATGGAAACAGTCATCCCTAAAGAGCACGTTGTGGTCCCACTTCACTCAACAATTGGTGATCTGAAACTGGCCGTGCAGGCGGCAATGAGGGGAACTTATTGTGGCATGGAGGGGTTCGTGGTGAGTGACATAAAGGGGTTGGAAGGAGTTCGGGATGATGAGGTCATTTTCGGGATTGTCGAGTCGGGGACTGAGATTTTAGTGACAGGGGTTGGGTTGGATTCGGAGAGCGACAGTATGAAGTGGACGGTGGAGTGCAGGTGTGGGGCCAGGGACGATGATGGGGAAAGGATGATGTCATGTGACATGTGTGAGATATGGCAGCACACTCGGTGTCTAGGGATTAAGGATGACATGGCGGTGCCACCACTGTTCGTGTGTGAGGCTTGTTGTGGCAGGCTTGTCCCGCCTGCCCCGCCAGCTGGATTTGGTGGGGGAGGGTTCATGGAGCTTGTTGGGTGCCACGAGAGTGCTGCTCTTATCCCTTGGCTACTAGAGCCTGATACTTCACTCTACTTCTGAAGTTGTGGTGAGGCATGTTCATATATGGTGATGTATATCAGATTATCAGTCACACCTGTTTTTTTTGCTAGTATAGAATTGGTTGTTAGTCCTTTCGTTTTTTGTGTGTGGCAATCTGTACTGTTGTGGATAGATCAATCATGTAAAGAGAATTGCTTGAGGATGGAAATAGAATTGCGAGTTTGGTTGTAATCTTAGATGCATTTGGTTAAGTAACTGAAGTTGAATGCAATTGGCAGAGGGTAGTATACTCCCTATAATCTTCAACTGTATTGGCAATAAGTTTAGTCAAGTCTTATGTAAAATTGCTTCTTCACAAAATATATTTAAAGATTATGATGCATTCAATTAGACAGGTTTCAGTTTCAATCAGATGAGAGCTCAATGATAATTAGACTACATCAAACTTCGACAATTGTAAAATACATATAAAATTGACGTTTATCATATAAGATCAAATCAGATTAGATTTTTATAGTTGTAAAATAAACTTGTAACAAACATCTATCACATCAATGCAAACTACACCAGATCAAACTTAAACACTCCAAATCTCATTAAAAGCATTTAGATTTAAAAGTGTTAGCACGCCAACACTTTGCCGTATCTTTTTTGCTTGCATCATTCGGTTCCCATAATTCCATGCCCCAAGCCCCTACTTCCCTAGGTTACCACTTCGCCTTTTTTTCC